GTATAATTCAATTATAAGAAACGAAATTTACAAAACGGGGAGCTTTATTAACAATGAATTATCTAGAAGTAATTTAAAATAGTGTTGAAAGGCACAAGTCACAAACGCCTCTTTAATTACAAAACGAAGTATGTGTAATATAGTAAAATTGCTTTAGATCCGTGCCTTGCGTATTGTTAAAATATACGTTGGTACGTGTAAGGGTTAAAACAATTAAAATTAAAAGCTTACTCACAATCGTTCCAAACTGCCGCGAAACCTCTGTCCACGTCTTCTTGCCAAGGCCGCTGGCCAAGGCAAGGCTGCCGCTAGGTAGCGAGCAGATCGTGGTACGATTGTACGGCGGGCGTGTAGCAGCGTGCCTCATTGGGCGGGCTAACCGGATAGGACGCCAGTTGGTGCCCGCGGCGGCGCGCCAAGCAATCGGACAGTCAGGCGGTTGCCGGAACCGCCTATCCGCCTCCGTCAGCCCTAGATAGTATTATAAAAAGAGAACCTTGTATTGTGATGGGAGCCAGTCGCAAAGAAATAGAAGAGATCCCATAAAGAGAGTTTGTGCAAGTTCAAAAACTGCTTATCGGGAGATAAGAGAATTCAAGGTCAATTTTAACGTAGCATAGGCTTTCAGAATTCTTGTTAGCTTTTGGTACACTTGCTTTATAACTTTAAATCTCATTGGGTATTGTTTTCATTTAAAATGTTTAGTTATATCAGAATCGTTCGTACAACCTCAGTACCTTTTCTGGCGTGTAGCGATCTAGAGGACTCTGCGGTGGACAACAAACAGTGAAAAACTCCGAGTAACGATTTAAAATCACCGTTCATTCAGTTATATGCTAAAGGGGAACGTCATAATTCCCGGGAGCTAATTGGAGTGAGACGAAAGTGGTCGAGGGCGGGTACACCAGGCCCAATGCATAAGCAGCTCCCATTGTTTGCGGAAGGGAAGCAGCTGCTGGGCGTGCCTTTGCGCATGCAGATGAGCAGCCGTTGTGACGCACAGTAGAAAGGTAGAGGATGTGACTGAACGAAAGAAGAGTCTGACTCTTTCTCTCTCTTTCACTCTTTTTTTCTCTCTCTCTCTTTCACTCTTTTTTTCTCTCTCTTCTTTCACTCTTTTTTCTCTCTTCTCTCTCTTTCACTCTTTTCTCCTCTCCTCTTTTCACATCTTTTTCTCTCTTCACTCTTTCACCTTTTTCTCTTTCACTTTTTTTTTCTCTTTACTCTTTTTCTCTTTCTCTTCTTCTGTCTCATTTTCTCTCTTCCTAATCTCTCTCTCTCTTTCTCTATCGTTTTGCAGACATTCTCGACAACTGTGGCAGTCCACCCTTGAAAAATTGTAACGGTAACCTTCATAACTATTCCTTGTGTAATGCAATTCTAAGGCGTGAAGTTTGAAATAAAAAAAAACTGACTTAATTGAAAGGTCTTTACAAAAATAATTAAATCCAGTTTACTCATTTAAGTAATTGTCAAACAGCTTGTCGAACTCTTATTTTCGTAACCGATTCCACAGTGTTTCACATTATGTGTTTGGCACCAAATGAAGGCTTACAAACAATACAAATGTAGGCACCCAGTGGTTTGTGCAAATATAAATTCGTTTTGCCAACGTCAAAAAGACCATTTTAAAATGGACACATTTTTTGTTTGTTTTGGGGTTTATTCAGCAACTTTAATAAATGTTGTCAAGGCCGGGCTTTCAGGTAGATGTTCACACTCGGATGTGATTTTTGCATCATCGTTCGGTGCACGCCTCTGTTTGCCTTTCAGCATTTCCCGCGTCGGGGAATGGCTATCGCGAGGTCTGCCAGCCGAACGAGCCCCGCCCCGGCAAAGCGATGGCCGGCGGAGATTGCGATACTCGCAGCAAGTGGACCGAGACCCCGCTTCTCTCCCTCGTCCCTCCACGCCCATTCCTCATTTCCACCTTCACAATCTCCTTGTCGTCACTGCTACCACGTACTACTAACAACAATAAAAATAAACTGCAAACAGTTGTTTTGTTTTGTTTTTTCGCGTTATCACCAGTAAGTTTTTCAACACTGTGAAACCAAGTAGCGTAAACCTGTCTCAGAACGACGTGACTGTTTGTTTTATGTGCTGATTCTGTTTCGCCCCCTTCGTATTTCTCACTAGCGGAGATTCAACCCTGGTAATGTTCACTGTTTTCAACACCCCTTGATGCGTGGTTAAACTGGAATTATTTAGTTCTCCATACTCAAACGGAATTAGTTATTTATTATACAAGACGACATAGTATTCTTGTAAAATTTATGTAGTAATTGATTTGATTGTTTTGGTAAAATTCATATATATCATGACGTACAATTTGACAGATTACATAAGTTTTAACTTTTTCTGGTGCCGACGAAAGGAGCGCCTGCGAGAGTAGTTCACCTACGAGAATAGTTTTAAAAGACTGCACTCACGGGAGAGCGGTATTTAATGGACATTTTATTATTAATCAATTAGAGGCGTCTGAATGTGTTTGGGTCGCAAGTTGTAGCGGCTTCGGCTGCTGAGTTAGCAACCGCGATCTGAAGCGCCTCGGAGCCTGGCGCTGGCGGCGCGCCGGCGCGTGGCGCCGCGTGACGCAACTGCGCGGAAGGCAATTACGCATTAATGCATTCACTTTTTAAGAATTTGTTTTCTCTGATCTTCGCGCCTGTCGGCTTCTGAGTGAAATGTGGCGATCTCTGGCGTAACAAAGACTTTTCAAAATATTCTAGTATTTTTATGCGCCCAACGCGCAAACAATTGCCTTTATATGTAGTGCTCATGTGTAATATCGGAGTATTTGTTCAAGTGTAATATAAAAGTAATACCGCGAACATTTTAAGAAATAATTAATACCATTACCGACATACTTGCTTCATAGTTTTCTAATGGTGAACAACGGACACCAACAATCTGTTTTACCTATTTCGAACTATTTGTTAAGTACAGAACGAAGATGCGAGGTGCATCCAGAAAGTAAGTTTGCCTAGAATGTCAACAAAAATTCGTATAATGCAAAAACTATTCTAGAAGGTACATCAAGTTGCACTTTTGGTCAAACCCATCTCGGCGGAACTTCTAGGTCAGATCTGTTGTGAACCGAACCATGTGTGTCCGACCGTATGATCATCCACCTTGTAGGCCCGATATCGCCCCCAGAAATTTCCATCTCCTCTAACTCCTCAAGAAATTCCTATCCAGTCAGCGTTACTCGTACCAGAGACACGTAAAGTGGCAGGTGGCTCTCAAATACTGGAACCTATCTTAGGCGACAGACTTCTACGCCACAAGGATACACATATTGATCCCACGTTATGGCATCACAGTTCCGGTGGTGACTATGTGGAAAAATAGTACTACGCGTGTGTTGTATCTGCTACAATGAAGTTTTTTTCATTCACTTTTGCTTTATTTTTTTGACTACCTAGGGTAATTGACTTTCTATACGCACCTCGTGGAGCACAAATAACTTTTGAAGTTTCAAATTGGATTTTAATATTTAGATCTGTTGCTATTATTCTAATATCCGCACATAGTAAGTGTAAGGGGAAGTAAATTAATAGGCCTCTATATTTGAAATACGTATTTGTGAATTTATTAGTATTTATGCATCGTATAGTCATTGCTTTCCATGGTGCCAGTGCCGATACTAGGCAATTTTGGGCCCAGGCAACGCTGAAACGTCAGACCTTCCCCCGAAACTTGAAAGGCCTGTGGAATAATAATTATGAATTTCGGTAAAACATATTGTAACGTTAGCGACATTTGATTCATTTCATACCGTGTAAGTAACGACTTGGAAACGGATTTTCATGTGAATACATATATTTACAAGAACAACATTGTTGCATTCAAATATATTTCTTAGAGTTTACAGGACATTATTAATGAAATAGAACTATATTTATTTTTACATATTTTTTAAAATGTAGGTATAATTACATATTTTATATATTTTTTCCTATTACTACATTTCGTTTAATTTTTGTATAAAAAATAAAAACTGAACATTTCAAATGCGAGTTCGCAATATACCATTTTACCGGAATCGTCTTTCTTACAAAGCAATGCAATACGCTTCTATGACCCGGTCCTTCTTCATGAATTGTCAAAAGTATTCCTCTCCTTCCTTCTTGAAAATCGCGTACTCGGGTTCAAAGATGAGCAAATGGACATGTGTAGTAGAAGTAATATCAACCTCATGCTTGCTCATTACGCGATAAAAGGAAAACGAGGTTGGAGGGTGATAATCCTTCCCTTCACCTCCGGGATCCATCACGAACAGCATGGTATTACACTATTCATTTGAGCACCATCTCCTCGTAAACAGTGTATATCTGACAAACGTATTTTATAAGAAACTGCTGTACAATTACTTCTGTACAGGAAGAACTTTCATTCTCTCCAAATCAGTGATAAGGCTGATCGACGACCTTCTGTGCTCGTAAAATGATTATATAGAGGAATTTTAAACTCTTATTTTTTTATACGTATTTTATTTTTTCCTTACATATTTTGGAAAAGATAGATACAAATTGTATATATGTACATGTACAATTTTAATTACAGTACATTCCGTTCCCTAGTAATGACTATAATTAACTATTTAAGGTACGAATTTTACAGTAAATTTTATGAAATATCAGACTTATTCGGCGACTTACAAAATTAAGATAAGCATTTTATCGAGTTCTATTTTTTTCAATTTTGTTACTAATTTTTCCCATCATCGGAGCCCCTTGACTTACGTGGCCCCTGGCGATCACTTGTCTGCCCATGACTAACGCCGGCACTGCTTGGTGCCATACATGAAGAGAGTTAATTGTAACTGACTAGTTTCCCGTCAGTGAAATAAGAGCGCTCTTTTGCAAGCTTCTTTCTCTCCATCTCTTTGCGTATTGGCCCTGTATGTGTGTGTGTGTGTGTGTGTGTGTGTGTGTGTGTGTGTGTGGCTGGCTTCCGTTTTCATTGTAACGATTGTGCTCGCGTGTTGTGCGCAGAGAACCTGGCGCCGGCGGAGCTGAAGAAGCTGCGCAACAAGCAGCGCAAGGCGCGCCGGAAGGCGGAGCTGGAGCGCCAGCAGGCGGCGCAGGCACAAGAGAAGCGCGAGCAGCACAACAAGTCGCGGCAGCAGGGCGACGCGGAACCCGACGCGCCGCCGCAGGACGAGCTCGTGCCCGAGAAGCTGGCCCGGGCGGAGGACCCCCTAGAACAGGCCATCAAGTTCCTCCAGCCGCTGCAGACGCTCGCCGCCAAGCGAATAGACACGCACCTCATGGCCTTCGAAATCTATTCCAGAAAAAGTAGGTTTTGCGCATGCGTCTTTGTCTGCTTCATAGTCCTCTGTCCCTAGAAGGGTGCGCGTTCTCCGTGCCGACGCAACAATAAGATACGATATCTTTGACGTTACTGATCAAAAAATAAATGAACTACTGTCTTTAATCCACACGTTGAGTAAAGATCAATGTGAAACCTAAAGAAATAAATCTTATTTTTACTTCCACGACTGCTTACGCTGTATAAAGAAAGTATTGTATTGTTACAGGGGAAAACGGCGAATTTTCGACAAAAAACCCATATTGCTTAACCCTGGTACTGAAAAAGTGGATACATTTTGTCCCTATGTGGTAAATTACAACTTCCTCTAACACGTGCAATCAGAATTCGTGGTTTGTGGTAGCTGCTAACCTGTAAGCAGGATTTTCACCAAAACTGATATTCCCCAAACGATCTGGAAGATGTTGCGGCCCCTTGATTTTGATACAGATATTTTCATTTTGGGACTACTTTACATAAAGGCATGGGACATTTTCAAAAAAGTCAGTACATTTTTGATCAGATTTTGCCCTGGGATAGCGTACAGCCGCTGAAGAGAAAGGTGCAGGTGTCATTTTCATTGAAATCCATGTTTCGAAAATTGCAAAAAGTTCAAATTTTTTTGAAGTCTTCTTACAACTACAATTATGATGTTTTAGTTTTTACACCTTAATGAAATGTGTTAATCACAAACGGAACTTCTAATAAGGCCATATTGAATTTTTCGAAAATAGTATTTTTTGCGTCACATGTACAAAATTTTTAAGTTTGTATTCTCAAAAACTGTTTCAATTTTTTTTATTTAAATTGTTTGCCACCTATGTTGCAAAGAATGTTAAAGAAAGTGGTGCTAGTCCCAATTTTGTCTTACTTCCTGTGTTTTTGAAAATTGAAAGAAAAAGAAAATCAAAATTAATTTCTCGTGCTTTGATTGCCGCACTGTCAGTTCACTAAATGGCAACACGGAAGTTCGAAATCCTTAGGATTTTTTGACATCGCTCGTGTTAATAGCATGATGTAAATAAAATTTTGAAAGGCAATAGATTTAAGAAAGGAGATACTTTTACCATAGAACTAACAAATAAGTTTATTTTACTTAAAGAAGTTTTGATTGCTGATATTGGTATTCAAAAATTGTTAGCTCATATCAATATAATCAAGGCAAATTTGTGTGATATATTATTCACTTATATATTATTTTATATTATGAGCTGCAAATAATGTATTAAAGTTTCATTTATAAAACTTAGAAAGTACTACTGTTCATGACTATCGAAATAAAGGCAGTTATGCACCCCAGTTGCATCATTTGAATTGGTTGAATTTGACTTTTTCAATTTATAACTGAGGTCTTAGTAGGGCAGAAATTGCAGTATTAATAACTATTTCCAATATGAGAAAGTATGTGCTGCAGTAGCTCCTCTAGTTATTAAAGAGAGGACTAAAAGACATTTATTTAATTACTCCCTCAAGTTTCTTTTTCATTTCTACAAATAATGTGTGTATGCACTCATTTAATAAAGTGATTTCTTTCAGCGGCAATACACTGGGGGCATATTGATATATTGCTTCTAATTTTTTTTTTTTTTTTTTTTTTTTTTTTTTTGCCCAGGAAAAAAATCATTTGTATCAATGTGCCCCATCTCTGGGGTAGTTTGGTACATCTCATGGGGTGTTTTGACGCATTGGGAAAAGTAGAGGGAGGGTGAAATAACTGCCACTCCATGTTTTCCATAGAAATGAATTAGCATTTTATATTTTTTTATAAGGAATGTCAAAATGACCAAAATCAAAATGAAACACACAATGTGCTGCCTTATATTTATTTAAAGAAATTCAAATTACCCACAATTTTTTTTGTAAGGATTGTTGAAGCAATAACACTTAAATATGTAGCAGCCTGATGTATTTCCTGTTCCTTGTCCGATTGTTTGCTGTGGGAACTTTGTTGTATCTTGCTCTTCAAACTCACAATTATCTTATCATGAAAAAGGGAAAAAGTATCAGGTTTTCTGTTCATAAACACAAAGAGATGATCACCATCATCAATTTTTCCTTTAACTTGGGCTACAAAGTGAATAACCAATCTCTAATTAAAAAACCTCACTACAATGAAATCAATTAACAATATTTTGGTCAAAAGTATCTACATCTTCCACTGATTCTTCTTCACCTAACTGATCAGCATTCAAATCAACTGATGTAGTCACCCAACTGTCCTAAGACAGACTAAGTTCAGATTCTTTTGATGAATATAATTCTTTGACCTTCTTGCTCTTCCTCGCTTTAAGGTTTGGTGTCTTCTATCCCCAGCAGCAGTTTTGGGTTTTTTAGTTCTTTGTCTCTCTTCATTTGCTGTGCCGCAGCTTCTCTCTTCTTTTACTTTCCTTGTTTTCAAAAACCTTATTATTTCTCTTTCTCTTATTATTTATACCCGCCAGAATACCTGGTGTTGCCAGGCAATTTATTATCAAATTTGTTTTGAGAGAAGAATGTTTCTTCAGTTAATTTTTATGTAATAATATAGTTTTAAGAACATTATTTTACTAAAGAATTCGTTCACATTTTTATAAAATGATTACTATCATTTTCTTTCTTTTTATTATTGATTACTGTTATTAGAGGCGGCGCAGCAACTTCATTCTTAAATATATATTTTTAAGATTCCATTTGGTGTCATTTGAAAATTAAAATCATTTATTTATTTATTTTATAAGATACATATTACAGTAAAATCTGTCTAAGCCAGAATCTACTGGGACACAAACAATTCTGGTTAAGGGAGTTTTCCGTTTTATGCAAGGTTGTCCAGTTTATGACACTTGTGATTTTGACCTATCTGCCCTGAAAGTAGTACACAATATTATTAAAATTATGAAAATACATTAACATATAACGTATTTATGGAAGAAATCACCAAAATATGAATATTAATCACTCTTCATTGACAGCTTCCAAGTTGAAAAATACACACCTTACTGGTTTTATTCAGACTACTTGCCAACTCTTCAAATGCTCACTGTGTCAGAAACTAGTACTATGACTTTCTGATACCCTGATTGCACAGCCTTGAGCAATGCATATCTGGTCAAGGGGTTATGCTTTTCTCCTTAAAGCCCCTCTCATGCAATGTCCGGCTGCCTCGAATAAATTGCTTATCACTGAGAGAGAGAATTTTGAACAAGCTTGCAGATGCATTTGTTTCATTAACAACATCTCGTATCTCTGTCAACTATATTAAATTCACCGGATTTCCGTTTTTTAATGATTTTTTTTCTCTCCTGCAGGAACCGTTCCATTTCTGTATTAGAGAGGTTCCGTTTTATGCTATGTAAAATGCCATTTAACTTCATAGAAGAAATTTTCCGGTTAAGACAGGTTTCCGGCATGTACAGGTACTGGTTTAGACAGATTTTACTGTACCAATAATTGAAAATTCCATGCAAAAGAAAACACATTGTTCATGAAAAATTTAGGTAGAAACTTTTGGTTTATGTGATTTTTGTGTGTTAATTGACTTGTAGAGTAAGATATGTTCATTATATCATTCTGTTTCCATCATAATATAATTTTCATTTCAATAGGTCAGAGAAAAACAATTGTGGTGTATTAACAAACAATCATGAAATTATATTACATACTGTCAAGATATTATCACTACGTTTGGAATTCCCAGTAAAATCATTACCAAATAATACAAAATAAAATTCAAAATATGAAACTGGATGGGAGAGATACATTACAATTACATTTTAAACCATTATTCAAAACGCTTCATATTTTACAAATTAAAGATTATCTTAGTTCATTGATTTTGACCAAGAAACATAAGTACAATACTGATCACAAACATTGCATGAACAATAATTATGTACTGAACCACTGACTATTAAGAAAATAAATAAATAAATAAAAATTAGAGAAATTCATTTTCTATGGATGAATTCTTAAATTGGTAGAAATTGGTATGCAAAAGAACAGCATAGAGGAGGCTTAAAGGATTTTCATTCCCAAAATAGTGCATACGTAATATTCTGTAAAAGAAAAAGTTGTTTATTTTGAAAATACAGCATGCCAAAACACCACTCTGAACATACGCTGTAACATTCTAAGTTATAGTAATGTAATTCTCCACATTGTTTTCATTCACAGCACATTAGCATAGTCAAAGTAGTCTCTTTATTCTACCATTCTGGTTCATTTGTATCTTCATGTTTTTGAATTGAAATTTTTTCTAGTCACTTCAGCAATCAATACACAATCCAGTTACTTATGAAGGGCTCTGAACCAAACAGTGCTTTCAGCCAGGGGGAGTTTTTGATATTTGAACACTAACAATTTCATAATTTTTCAGAAAAGCCATTACTTATGCTCCAGTCTGTGAAGCGGGCTTATCGCCTTGAGCCTGACAATCCTCGGTTGCACAGATGTTTGATTCTATGTCATGGCTATATGGAGAAGTGTGCTGGGTCTCTGGAGGCTCCAGTTGCTACAGTAATTCAACGAGAATTAGCTCCTATATTCAAGGGGAAGGATGCAAAGCAGTTGAATGCAGAGTTCCTAGCTGCCCATCCCAATTCCCTTGAAGCTCTCTTTGAAGGTAACAGAACTTTTTTGGAATTTCAATCAAATATAGAAACAAAATAGATGCATTAAAAAACTCAATTAATTTGTTCACAGGGTCTCGGATGTGGTACTATCTGGATCCAACACAACAAGAAGCTGCTATTAAATTGTGTACAAAATTGGATAAAAATATTGAAGGCATTTGCATTAAAGTATGTAAAAACATTTAATGATCCTTATAATGCTTAAAGAATTCTTGATAATATTTGCATACATGTGTTTGCATTTATGTGATAGCTTTTATAAGATTCATTATATTAGGAATATATCAATGGATTTTTATAACACCTCATCTTAGTCAAACCAATGCATTTTTAGGATCAAAACATACTTTCTTCACTAATAAGTTCAGTAGGTAACGGTTTTAAATAATAATAATAATAATAATAATAATAATAATAATAATAATTAATAATAATTAATAATATCTAATAATATCCAATAATATCCAGTACATTAGGAACTGCATCTCTGGGATGATACAGCATAGATCACAAAGACGAAAATGATAACCATCAATGATCACATTGCTTTAATTTTATACAAATCCACTTTAGGTGTGAGAGTGATACACTGTTTGGTTTTTGTATCATTAATATTGAGAAGTTAAATTAGGAAGAAACAATCAAAATCCTCAACAATGAAAAAAAATCTGCTTCTTTGCTCAGTGGGATAAACACTTCAATTTGTTTTGGTTACATTGTTGTCAGAAACTTAAGTACCATACCATTCCATGCACATTTAGAACATTTTTAAAAATTATATCAGAATGAATTCAGTTTACTACTGAAGTTGTAAGTTTGCTTATATCACAAGGCTGCAGTTTTCACTGCTTGGTACAAACTAGAGAAATTACAGAATGTCACAGACTGTGTCATTGTCCTGTTTTCTAGAGATTGGGCTAGCTTTTTGTTTTTACTCCCATGTACAATTATATTCCACAACCTTCAAACAGAGCTAAATAGACATTTGTCCTAAAATGTGAGGTTTAGTAATAGATTCTTCTATAGTTCTAATAGATTCCAGAGAATCTTTTAGAAATAATTTAAAACCTAATATAGTAAAGGAAATAATCTCCACGAGTTAACTTTTGGGAAAACACTTTTCCCATCCTCAGTGGATCTCCCATGCATGTTCACAACATGGTCAAAACATGTGAAAACTGCAAAACATGCTGGTCACAGTTAGGCGTTTTCACATTTTTTGACCATGTTGTGAACATTCACAGAGGAGATCCACGTAGCTTGGGCAAGATCCACTGAGGATAGGAAAATTGTTTTCCTGAAAGTTAACTTTGGAAAATTATTATTAAAAATTATTAAAACTTTTGTGGAGATTATTTCCTTTACCATATTATGGATTACCACAAGATATCTGCTACCACCATGAAATTTATTAAAAACCTATTTTAAATTGCATCCTTTAATTGAGTTAAATGTAAAAACAAAAAGATTTCGTTTTGCATAATATGTAGGAACGAAGAGTAATGTCTGTAAAAACAGTAATTTTGATGTATATAAAAATTTGTAGTTAATTATATATTTCTATGCATTTTCATTATCTTGCTAGTGGTATCAAGAATGCTAATTTGCAAAGTGTGTATCCCATACGAATTAGCAGTCATTGTTGCTTGTTGCAACCCATTGTAATAAAGCTACAATGATAACAGAATGCAATAATGATAGCTGTGTTTCATTTGTGTTAAAAGAAACTAATATTTTTTATCTACAGCTAAAATATGGACCGTGCTTTCTTAGTACAGTTATGTAGAATGTGAATACACTATATTCAATGGAAAAGCAGTTTTCATTTAAACGTTTGATGGGGGGGGGGGGATGTATGTGCTTTTCTCACTTTGTTTGTTTAAGAATTTTTCAAGTGGTTTTTGAAGTGCAAGACAGAAATTGTCATATAATATTACATAGTCATTAACAATATCACAAGAAAGTACATGCTGTTGTGTAGCTCTAGTAGTTAAAATTGTTTTATTGCAAAATCTATTATGTGCTTTTCAAAATTCCATATTCCATAAATTATGATATTGGAGATGGTTCATGCGAATGTGAAGATTTATTACTTCTGAAAGTTCAAAATTATTAAAAATGGAAATGTTACAATGTTGTGAAGCATACTGTTACCAACTTCTATGTAATTTAATCGAAAGATAATCAGCATTTTTTCGGTAATGTTGAAAATAGAATATGGACATCAGGTAATTGCAGGAATTTTCTAAATTCGTGGTCTGTTTGGTAATGTCAATAGCAGAATATCCATTTGAAAAAATATTTCTTTTTGCATGTTGAAAGCTACGTTACTCATGGTTACAAATACGATGCCTCAAACCCTGTGTTGGCATCGGTATACTTTCTGGCTGAAAAAATACTTTCTTAAACATTTCAGGACTGTGAATATTAATTAGTAACATATGATTCCTAATAAAGAAATCCAAGATTTCTTTAAAGCTTGTTTTTGTACAAATTTCTACACTCTAGTACTGGGTTACAAGAGAAAAGGGCACGAGGTACGTAGTACTGGGCCGAAAAAAAGTGTAGTCATGTGTGAAACAGAACCTGGAAAATTTGTATTCTCAGACCTGGAAAACCAGGGGAAAATCTTGAATTCTAAAAAGCCTGATAGCTGGCCACCCTGAATGTTGAATACAATCCTCTCAAAAAGTTAATTTCAGAGATGTTTCTCATTACGAACAATGACCAAACTATAAAATCTACTCACTGATACCGAAAAGCTCCAGAACATTTATGGTATAATAATATATTTACTCCCCATCTATTCTGTTCAATGCGTATGTTTGTAGTTGATTTCTACAGGCAGTCTTGATCTCATTTATTCATTCTTTGAGCTTACAAACTCTTTGACACTACAGCACCGTATTCTTATTTTAATGATATGCTTACTCAATAGCCCACATTGAAATTGATTTTATTACAGTTATTGATTACAACTAACTTGAGCATGTTTACTCTCAGAACAGTCAGTATGTACCTTGTACCTTAATTGATTTAAAAAGTTTTATAAATAATCAATGTTTATTCATTGTAACGATTTGTTAGGTTTGTTCTACTTAATTTTCCTGATGAGGCGACAACTGCAGGTAGAAACTCGACAACTACTTTCAGAGAAAACTTGTATTTTAATTGTCAACACTTATATAAAAAGCAAAATTATTTACTTATGTAAGTTAAGGTCTGCTAAAAAATATGGTCAATATCACTTAAATGTACATTAAAATACCATTGATTCAGAAGGAGCTAGTTGTTCTGTAAGTTAGTGATCCCAGCTACAGCAATTAACTGTACATTGATGGAGACATGTACGACACATGAAGAACCATTTTTAAGTATTGTTTCAGCTGGTAAGAAAGTAATATTTATCAGGGAAGACTTCAGACAAGTGTTTACCTTGGGAAGCAAGGTCTGTTCCTGGGATCGTTTATTCAAAATAGAAATGTACAATTTAATTTTATTATTATAATTTTTAAAATGTTGCTTTATAGTTGTGCTGCAACAGGCTTCTAGTTTTAAGTAATTATCATATATTATATTTTTTTTGCAGAAGGGGGGGGGGAGAAAATTCAGTTCTTGCCGTGGGGTTACATAGATAAGGTTCTCTGAGAAGTATTGTTCCTAAATTTTTACTGTTTGATTTGTTTTCAGAACTGCACAGTGATTTTGCAATCTCTCAAGAGCAATGACTTTGGGCCTTGCCCTACTGCTGTAGTGGATTATGAAGCTCGCTGCCATGCCCTCTTCCCATACGCAGAGACTTTCCGACCAGCAAACAGCTCAACCCAAGCTCCGCCATGTGATAGTAACCATCTGGCTGACATTACCAAGGAAAACTGCATTGGCAACTGATGTTGGGCTTCCATCTGTAGGTGGCAATCGGAGTGGAGCACAGGCCATGCAGGCTACGCCTTGCCCAAATGACCTGCGCCCTGCTCATCTGAGGTGGGGCTCCTGGATGGTGCAACGTGATGAATAATGGTTTCAGTCATTTGGTCCTTAACACCATATATAATTGAATGCTGAGGCTGTACAATACAATCTGTGCTAAAGTGGAAATGGGTGTGCTAGTGTGTTGTGGAGAGAGACAATTTCTTTGTTTACCTAATTCATTTATTTGGGATGTAAGAATTCTGCAATGTTTTCTGGCAAATGCAGTCTTTGTTGAGGTTTCTCTTTTGAAAATTGATAAGAAAGTACATGCCCTGTTAATCTTGTGCTGTAGGTTAGAGGAAAGCTCCTGAGCATTCTAGATAAATGACACAATGATTAGAAAGAAATTTAAATTCCTATTATTTAATGAATCTTTGAATAGGCATTAAAAATAGATAATACTTTTTTTTAAACCTGCTGTAGATAATCTTAAAACATTTGTTGCAGAATACTTATGTTCTCTGTAGTTTATAGGAAAGAAGTCTATAGTGAAAACATGAAATGATTTATTGTGTTGTACAGGACAGACTTGAATGTTGTGAAATTTGAAACATAACAGTGCATTAGAGATCATATTGATTAACTGAAACTTGAATCAATTTTTTAAAGAGTCTTTTTCTCACTCGGGATTGAGTGTGAAGAGGCTGGCCAGCGTTTACCTTTTGTGTGTGATGTATTCTTGGTGTCAGTCATTGAGGCTTCATAATAAACCTGTTGGTTGGAGTTGACAAACAGAATACATATGCCTCCACAAAGAAGTGCATTGTGACATTCAGAAGAAACTCAGGTTACGTACAGAACGCTGGAATATTAAGGCTCATCCCTTCAAGACTGGAACAGTGCCTGCACAAGGAAGAACGTCTCGGACATCGGTCTTGCCAGTCACTTTCCTTTTTAATTTACATTAATTTGTTTCTAAAGAGACAGTGAAATTGGCGTGAGTGCGTCCATTTTTTTAATGAACAATTTTGTCGTCTTAGTCACAACCCTGTGGCCCATTCATTGATATCAATCATTAGATTCTCAAATATGTACGTAATCAAAGAACTTGTGTCCCAAGGCTTTTTTGAAGGAATAGCATTGTAGACGACCCAATAAATCTTGTACTGAAATTGCTCGGAGCATCTGGAACATTCAGGACATAATTATAATCTTCCATTTAACTTCCTGTAGTCATAACTATTGTACCCAAGAAAAAACCTGTAAAAGGAAATGGACTTTTGCGTATAGTTTAATTTGTGTATTGGTAATTTAAGCCAAAAATATTAATTGTGCTTATTAATCTGTTACAAGGAACAAAACTGCAAGATTTACTTTTGAGCAATTCTAAATGAACTGACAACTGGGCTCCCTTCTGTGCCATGTACACTAGTTATGTCCTTGATGGTTCAGATTGTTATGTTTTTTCCTGCCAGTATCTTTTGTATGAAGGGTTTTCGATACCTAATGGCTTGGCAGGGATATACTGATATTAATTTAAATGATTCAGTTTGTAGTAGCAAATAAAATACTCAGTTCCAGCAGAACAGGCATCACTAATGTTTATGAAAATAAAGGGGATAAACAGTTTGCTAAATGTGACATTTTACATTGCAGTTGCTCCTATTTTACATCCTTTTCTCACATTAAATTGAAAATGACTGTAAATACATGTATGGTACTGAGTATTTTAGAGTAAATCATGAAAGCAAGAACTTCCCCATTGGTTAATGGAACATAAGCATATGTTTTTAATTCGTGTAGATAATGTATTTATCTAGTGAGGAGTCTACCTGGTACTGGAAGATGTACTCCTTAGATATTTTTTTGTTAATAGATTATTTATTTGAGACCCATGTGTGAACCCCCAGAACATCTTAACTAGACAGCAAAATGGAATCCTTGCAGGGGACTGAGCTTTATATGGTCTCTCTTGTTCCATGTTTTTTAAATGACTGTACATTGTATTTTATTTCCTACTACTAAATAAACGTGTGTTGCAGGAAAAGAAGGTAAGAAATCAACAATGATGGAATTAGTTCTTTTATTTTAAAAAAATGGTGTCTGATTAAATCCCTCTTCTACTCTTACTTTGACATACTTTTTGCACCTGTTTACATATCCTTGTAATGAAAATGGTAACTCTCATTTTAAAAATAATCTTCAAAGACTGAAGATATGGGTAAACCACAAAGTTATTTTTATGTATATTTTAACTCTTCCATGTAATTCAAAACTTAAAAAAAGCTTACATTTATAACATAGTCCAAATATTAAAATATCACAGATTTATCCCAAAAACACTGAAAACAACTTTCACATTCAATTTTCACTTCGGTACAGACATAGCAACCAGGCAAAATTGAACGTCCTCAGTCAGAGCCCTACTTGATTTCCTTCAAAGGTGTTGGAGGCAGCTGTGTCATTTTGTTCCAATCTATTTCAGTGAAATCAATTGTTATCTGCTTACGTTTAGGAACATATTGCCTAAAAATGAGATTCATTTTTAGCTGTATTAAGATATTAAACTATCAAAACAAATGAATTTTTACAACTTGACTTTCCAATCTTACCAATATTTAATCCCTGCAGAATCAAACATGCGTTTGGCTGCAATTGTTTCTTCCTTTGCTGAATGTTTATCTGACATGTATACCACTTCACTAATACCGGACTGAATAATTAGTTTAGCACATTCATTGCATGGAAATAAAGCAACATAAATTGTACAGTTTTTAACATCTGAACAATTTTTATTCAGAATGGCATTCATTTCAGCATGACAAACTGTAAAGAAATGACATTTCTAAGCAACTACAAAATAAGTTAAGAGGCAAAGCTATGAAATTTACATACCATACAAGTATTTGGTCTCTAATCGAGAAGTAGAAGCTTTCTTCCAGGGATATTCATCATCACTACATCCAAATGGCATTCCATTATATCCTACACCAACTATTCTTTTCTCCTGATTCACTATGCAAGCCCCCACTTGAGAACACGGATCTTTACTTCGTTTGGCAGCAAGAAATGCCGTTGCCATAAAGTAGTCAGTCCATTCCAAATAGTCTTCTCTTTTCTTATCTACATCCCTGGAAACATTTTAATCGTTACTATCTGACGACTTCCCTCAAAGAAAAGAAAACTTTTAAATATTATTAGAGTACCTTGAAAATATTGCATTGGACACTTCTTTGCTCGATTCCGCTTCAACCATATTTATGCTAGATAGGTTAAGAAGCCTTGACCGAATGCTTCTAGGTCAATGGCAAAATTATTCGCTTGTCAAATCAATTTCAACACTTCGCGCTCCGCTCAATATACACTTACGAACAGCTCTTCTATTAACATAAGCGTCTTATCGTACTGCTATCTACTAGAAATCATATGAATCACACCACAGATAAACATGCGCGAACATCCGTGGAACCGCACTGACGCGCGCGATTTCAGTAATTTCGTATTCGCAGTCTTGCCAGCCGTTACGCCCGAGAGTAGGCTGTGCAGGTGGCGTGCGACAGTTGCTCTCGCAGAAATGGAGCGCCATGGGACGGGGTCACATCAGTGTTATATTATGAAGAAAATAAATGGGATATAGAGAATTACGTTGTAGCACAATTCCAGAGTTAATTCTTTACCATACGGATACCATAACGGATAGAACTTTTCTACACACGTATACCGTAACCCACTCTACACTGTAGGCAATGCATACTCTTTGCTATAGATAAGTAGCACCGTCATTTGATAAAGTGATTTCTTTCAATAATTATCTCTTCATATAGTCTTCAAGATTATTTATAAACATAATGAGGTATCATTGAATCATGCGTATTTTGTTATTGTTTTAGTGACTGGTACAGGGGCTCTGCTTGAAATGATTCGTGGAAAATGTTGGGTGGTATTACTCGCGCAACTGCTCGTCGCGCGTTTTATGAATTGTGTTCAACCCACCATCCTGTATCTGTCTGTATATAGACCTTGGTGCTCTCGCATGATGTCATACATGCATGCCGAGGAAACCTGTAGCGACTCATCCACTAGTGGAACCTAGCCGTATCGTAGCGCTCCTACTCTGCGAAGGAGACTGGAATACATGCCTTGACGTTAATTTAGACACTATATACAAGCCTAGGATCATTAAATCCTGTGAAAACAAGTAACTAATTTTACCCAACAATATTTGAAATACAAATTTCGAAACAGCAAATTTTGATAGTTACTTTAAAGGGATTAAATATTTCTTTAATCTACCAACACTAGGTTTGTACTTCGAAGAAAACTAAAAGGATCCTTCCATAATTTTATGAATTTCATCAATCATTTTTTTCTATCACAAAATGTAAGAAGATGTAGTTATGAGATTTTCATTGTATTGTTACTACTTCTGACAGACAAGACTTAAAAACACTATTTGTATTTCTAACTTTCCAGGCAGTTCGATTAAGGAAGAGCAGTGCATGGATGCTTACAAAAATAAAAATTCATATGAACGTAAAGCTTGTTAATTGTCAGGAGTGATACATTTTTACTGAATTGAAGAACTTTACAACCACTTCCATAAATACATTCTTTATAAACATATAGCTTAGTCAATGTATGTATTATTCATACATTTTTCTGCAATCAAAAAGCTAAAATTATACGAAAAATATTGAGTGTTTGTTATTTATTGATTCCAATTGATACTAAGAAATTCATAAAAGTGTCATTATTTGACATTTTTACTTTCTTTTAGAATCAATTTAATTTATTTAAGAATATATACGAGGGTAATATTAAACTCCTTGCTTCAATAAGACTTTATAGATAATGTTTACTATCAAACAATTAATTTATATTAAATATTTTTTACTGACCATTTTCGTACCTTTATCCTAAGCCTTGTTACATTGTTTACTTTCGTTATTTTATCAGACAAGCTATTAAACATAGTAATATCACGACTAAATAAAGATTTCCTCTTACCCTTGGCAAAACGAATTTTGTGATATTTATTTGCTTGTGTTGCTCCTTAACCACGAATAAAATAGTATAGCAAATGCATGAATGATCTAGGTTCTGTCACAAACGTTTCACAGAAACGATGTTGCCAGTACTGCAGTGTGTGTCCTCAACTCTTGCATGCCGCGACCCCTATATCAAGCCAATTAAACCCCCGGCGCACACCTAAGGATGCATCATAAAATCATCATGGAGGCGGCGGGCAGTGGGCTGCTGCGCACCACCTCAGGAAAGTACCACGCGCCCGCGATAGCTCTAAGAGCGACCAATCAAGAACGGCAATGTAGGTAGCTAAAAGGAGGGGTCGCCTCAATCCAATCGAGATAGGCTGGTCAAAGGGTCGAGAAACTCGATGAATGAACCAATCAGAGGCAAAGCATTACGCAGCACAAAACTTGTCTAATTGGGTTGGGATCAAGCAGCGAGGGAGCAACGGAGGAGCTAGAAAAACGGCACTTGACATAATAACTCGGTTACGAATGGCACTTGACCGGAGATCTCGGTAAAAATAACTCGGTTACAAGAAGTCTGGAGAGCAGAGCACAGTTGCAAAGGCTCGAGTTGACATCATTGCGAGACGCCACCAGACGAAGTTTAGACAACTAATGACATAGTCATTCACCAGTGTGCGACTGGCCTGCCTAAGTAATCAGACCAGCCATCCTTTCCCATCGGAATTAATTCCATGAGAAGGATTAGTCGGATCGACACGCGAAAAGCATTTCAAAAGGTGTGCAGTCCGTTCATTCCGCAGCGTGAAAGCGGTCAAAGTGACGTATGGGACCTCGACTTGCGCATCGACTGTACGTCAGGAGACCGGGACTTCCTGCCGTGTACGGGGCCTCTTCAGCTGCGCCTCCTCAGCCGAAACTGAACGGTAACGGACCGCGAGCGTATAATCCCATTGAAGGGACGTAACAATATATCTGTCTTCATTTTTTTTTGTTTGTGAATTTTTCCATCTCCATTAAAGTAAATAATAAGATAGGACTAGAGACTGTTAAATAGAAAACGTAAGACAAACTGTATCCAAAGATATTTGCAATAAACGAGTTCCCGCCACTTAGACGGGTTGCACTTTACAAAATACCATCTCTGTTCTATTATTCTACTAGATAGTAAACAAAATGCAATCCTTCGACCGGGAGCGCCCTCCCCTGCGAATCGTGTCGTTCGGACGAGATCGGCTGGCGGAAACGAGCGAACGGTCGCTGGGTATGTTCGTTTAGGGAAAGAGAAAGCGAACGCCGAGCGAACACATTCGCTCGGAGCCGAGAGGTTCGGGACGTGGTCGAACATTTTCTTTTCTACCTGCAAACACTCGGACGAATGGCGCTCATTTCAACAGTTTAGTGAGCATGACGGCGAATTGTGCTCTTTGTAGTTTGCATACAAAAAGCATGAAACTTTTAAATGATAGGTTTAAAGGCAGGCAAAGAGAAGATACGGTATAAATGATATCAATTTACTTATAGAAATTTATTTATTCATAATAGTCCCTTGCCATTAAAACTAATGTAAAATCAACGCATAATATTTTTCAGATGAGAAACTTTGTCAGGGGTGTTTTCACTAAGAGCACCCATATTATCTCTGCTTAATATTATTTCATTCCAAGTACTTACTTGATTAATAAACCAGCTAGCTGCAGTTATATCTTCAGTCATAAATCCATCAATTACCCAAAATTACAAAGCTGAAGACACTTTAGAAGAAAACAAAGTTTGTACAATAGGCACTCTTATTTTTTTCAAATGCACTGGGATTGATAACTTAGTTTTTAGATTTGGAATTAGAACAGGGTTATCTACTTCCTGATGTGAAGATTCTCAATACCAACACATTTCTTTAAACTTTGATCATATTCCATGTATGGCCTTAGCTGCATTTCATCCAACAATAGTACACAAAGTTAACCCGTGTTCATCCGATGACTTAAGTTTAAATATCAAGCCATTGAATAAGATCGTGTTGAATTCCTTCACTAAATGAACAAGACTCAATTCTTCAGTTTAGTGTTCTTAAAGACGGTAAACCAATCTGAGTAGCCGAGTTCGCTAAGTCGAGATCCGCCCATCGAGTGTCGTGGCGATCTCGGGTCGAGGGATGGCGGGTTCGAATTCCGCTTCGGGCAAGGCTGTATTTGTGATCGTCCTTTTACTCTTCTTCATCATCACCCTATCCCTTAAATAAAGAAGTACTAATAATGATCTTCACAAGCTGGAGACACTTGCTCTTAATGGCATATGCAGTTGGCTAACAAAAAAATTAAGGTAATGGATACTCAATGCCCCTAAAAATGAATATCCTTTACTTCCCACTGAACACATCAACTGTAAATTTCTTTTAGCTTTTATTGCTCCAAGTATAGGGTTAGTAGAAACAAACCGGTGGAGGTACCGATTTGGTCAGGCATCAAGAAACACCTAACCGTTTCTCCACTTCTTGGAGTTTCCTTATTCACGTATCTTAACTAAAATTAATTTTATATTAACTTGAGTAAACAAATAATATTCTAATGAATTACTTTGTACATTGAGTGACAATACCCATCTACCTTCCGTTATATTATTCTTAATTATCTTTCTTTAAAAAAATATTTCGTTGTTTAGCTCGATTTTATTTAAGAAATTGGGAATTTAAGAAATTGCCGCGAACTTACAATTTCAGGGGCATTTTTTTTACTCTCCTGTGGGCTGAAATTACCGCTCATACGAGAGTTCGGTAGTGAAATGTTTCTATTTACTTATGATTAGATTGATTTTGTGGCTCTATTAATCTATTAATCTGACAATCAATTTGATTAATATTTAGGTGACACTTAAGTTCCTTGTTTTCTGACCCCATTCTTTCCTTTACATCTTAACTTCCTGCATCCATACACGGATAATCATTTAAAACTTGTACCACAGAGTAACAGCAAAACAAACTTAGCAAAACAAATTAAATTATATAAAACAAACACTAAGAAATCACACAATATTTTTAAAAAATGTACAAAAATTCATTACCATTTTCAGGTCTCTTCGAGGGTGATTCCCGTTACTTGAGAGGCTTTTTTTTCGTGGTAGAAATCTGGGATGGTTTGGTACATGAAAAAGTGTTGAGATAGCATTTCACTTCAATGGTTTCCTGCCATCAGCTCTGTTTTGCTCAATTGAAAATCTTCAAAGTGAAGCTTAAAATACTATTCAATACAAAATTAAGTCAAGAAACCATATACCCCCGCATTTTCCTTGATATGAAAAAATTGGTACCTCACACAACTGTGAATTTTCTGTGGGCTGCCACTTATCGCATCTGCAATTTTGTATCCAGACAGATTTGTTTTGTCTGCGGGGAAATCAAAAACTGAAATAATCTATTTCCCTTTGATGAATGGCTCTTGCAGTTATATTTCGATTTGTTTATAGGGTCCTTTGACAGATCATCAGTTGCTACGGGCACATCCAATCAAGAGGTTAAACGTCACTACAGTGGCGTTCAAACTCCCGATTTGATGACACCCTAATAGATGATGAACTTTGAAATTATGATTAAATAGAAGTATAAGAGCAAACCATTCACATAGATTAACACCATCTATCCACCCATGACAATAACTCATGGTGTATGCCAATTGTTAGGACTTAACCGTTCAGAATTTCAGCGTAGTTGTGCGGATTATGGGTAGGTCTGCCATTATCGCCTATTTTGGTGCAGAGCCATACCAGTGACTTGTACAAACTAGAAAGTCTGCCTTACGGATGTGCTGACACCTGTTGATTGTTCTGGGCGAAAGCTCGTAACTGACCTCAAATCACCGCATTTCCCTTTGGGTCCACTTCGTTACGTCAGGAATCAGACGGAATTTTCCAGTAGATGCTAGAGCCCATCGCCGTTGCCACTGGGCTATTCTCACCCCACTCTTTCTTCATGATGACGCTCCTATTTGAACTCCCTCTAGGTTACGTCTGTAGAGCCCTTTCTTGTGCCGTGAGGTATATATAGGTCTATTGGCTATCATATAGTGTCTTACGAAACCATGCGAAATGTCCGAACCACCGTCAAGGCGGACCTTCTATACACTGCTTTAGCACCTCGGGCGTACGACTGGATCTCAAAGACATCAGCGCAAATGGGAACTGCGTGGAGCAGCTTAGAGTTAACAGTCCTAGACAGTAGCTTCCGGCTACTTGGACCTTATCCAACAGCTTAAGGTGCTCATCTGAAGTGGTTTTAATAAAAAAATTACATCATTTTTCTTTGTTTTTAGGGTATTTAAAAATCATTTTAAGAGCTTTTTATTGATAAATTTTAGTAATAATTAGGTCATCAAAATTCGCCCCCTAGTTATGATGGTAATATCAAGACTTATCGTCGCCTGTTAGTAAGTGTTAATGTTTTGAGCTTTAATTCACCTGCCATCTAGGTGGTGCAATGGGCGTAGAAATGTGTGTCAACAGCGCATCGAACTGTCATCGCTTGTTCACTTCCGGTGCTGTAGTGATGTATTTGATATCTGTAATGCTCTCTGTTGCTGCTATTATTCTGTGTATGTGCAATGTGAATGATATTCTGTTTGTTGCTAGAAAGTTTGGGTGTTTTCAAATTTGTAGTAGTTCATTCTTGCATTTTACTTTATCATTTTTTGATATTCTACCATCTTTTTTCAATACTGTCATTTGTTTTAGATGAGTTAATAATGAGATCATGTCCTTTAGCCCATCTGTTTAGTGGGTTCATTGAATCTTGTAAGTTTGTCTAGTTAGATGATGCTATTGCGATTTCATTTGTGTATATATATATATATATATATATATATATATATATATATATATATATATTCTAACTAACCCATCTACACCCAAACTTACCACCTTCAACAGCCAACTGCAGCACGCATGAACCGCAAGTGGGTTATCAAGATTTTGCTCGTGAAGCGAGCTTAAAATCTAGGGAGCAGGATCTTCAGGTTGCGAGAAAGGTTTGAACCCTTGTCACAATAAAAATCACACAGATTGCACACAAACGAGCGTATAATTTACCCATGAACTTTTAGTGGCATAAGTTGACCTGACAAAAACCAAGTTGGTCTGACAAAAACCAAGTTGGTCTGACAAAAACCAAGAATATTGAATCACACTTTTACAAAGAATGATCAAAACACAAGTAGAAACCTTTACAACACACACTCATATGAATACATATAATTTACACCAAAATTGATACTCTGAAATAATTACCCTAATCTACACTGGGAATTCCCTTGGAAAATTAATTTTATCGAAATTTATGCTATTCTAATTACATTGCACATGAAACCAAAATTTCAATATACAATCTGCTTCAAAATATTACATGCAAAGAACAAAATGAGTGCAAGTGCACTAGTCTCATTTACAATTTAACTGTGTCTGAAAATAGCAGAATAATAAATGTCCTGAGTATAATTTTTTATGCAGGCAATAGCGCATCAAAATGTGTCCTACTATAATACTGCAATTTGTTGCCACCCTTATCCTCAATTTCTTAACACTTTCCTATACTAGTTTTACCCTGCCGACGTGAACTTGACCTACTTTCCGCGCCTTAACCGTTACCTCGTGGATTCCACTTTTGGCCTTGATGTCGTGCGCTGGTCTCTGCGTCGACGTCGCTCGGCCCAGCTTCTGCGTCGTAAGAGACGGGATTCGCCTCTGCCGTCTACGCAGACTCTTCTTGCGTCTTCTTCCGTTCTTCTTACTAGTCGGCCTCTTCTTCTTCCTCGACTACTACCGGCGCCTCTGACTACGCCCACGTTGCGAAAATGTCCCTTGCACTTTACCGAATACTCGTGCAATTTCCTCGCTCGTTGCTACTTCTACTTTGCTAAACCAGAACTTTCAATGCTTCTCTCACAACGGGTAATTTTTACTTCCCTGTCGTTAATTGAAGGATACTTTACTTAATTGCCACTATCTCGCGGACAACTGACTAGAACGTCTGTTCGACGCCAAATACTCCTACTAGTAGTCGTTGCAGCGGCAAACAATATCTAAGCTATGTTAACAAAAGTTTTGGCTCGGCGAGCAGTGATCAACGTGTTGCTGGCTCTGCGATCGGTAATCCAAAAAGAAGAGTGGTGGCAAAAAAGAGAGCTTCCGCTTGCGGGTTCGCGTATTTATCGTCCGACGCCTGGGGAAATTCTCAGTGGTGGGGCTGCTTCCCTCTCTCAACCCTTCACAAGGAAAACGTTGCTCGCTATTTCGCCTTCGTTTAGTACGGGCAACGCGATACCAGGCCGCGCGTTTATGAACCTTTGCTTCCGCGCCTGCTATCCTCGCTGCCTCCGTAGTGTTCACACATACGAGACGGTGGTATTATGGGGTTGCACAATCCCATAACGCCAACTATAATCTATAATAATATTATATATAGGTATCATATCTAATTATATATATATATATATATATATATAATGGGATTGCGTGATTACGCTGAAGTTGGCGGCCTGATACTGGAGTTGGTTGCCTGCGGCCTCTTTGAAGGGGCCTGAGGGTAGGGGCCTGAGGGTAGCTGGAAATAGCGGAGGATGGCGACCCAGGCAGAGGGCTGATACCACAGGAAGGGAGAGTACCGACCCGTCGTAAAATATACGTATTGTGTACACGATGTGGAAAGACTTGACCTGCTGAAAAGAGATTTGTGTGTGTGGCAGGGGTTTGGTGCAGGAGGGGAGGAGTGCAGTACGTAGCAATCTAGTAATTAAATGTTATTGTTGAAACGCGTGTGAGTTTCATTGAAAGAATTTTGCTTCCAAGACCCTACTGCACACACACACACACACAGGTGTGTGTATGTATGTATGTATGTTTATACATCTTTACATCTCCTGAGATGGCTCCTGTTATGACAAATAGCATTATAATGAATACGTATGCGCTTAGTGACTCTCTCTGTAGTACCCCAAGAGTTTGATATATTGACACTGATAGCGTTATCTGGTTGCCTATTTGTATACAATTCATGTGCATTATGTTGAGTATTGACTTGTTATCCATAACCTTCCTGTTAGATTTATTAACTTGTGTGTGAGAATACTCTTTCTGTTTACTCTATCAAATGCTTTAGATAGATTCAAAATATTACAAACATTTTCCCATGCGTTTTTGTCTGTCAGTTGGATGTTTTAAAAATATTTTCTATTACTACAAGAGTGGTTTGTCGTAGTCTGGACCCAAATTGTTCACCTGGATGTTTTTTTTCTATGTGTATTGCCTTTGTGCTAAAAGCTTTGTTAATATCTTGTTGGACAGTTTCTAGAGCAATTCTTCTGAGGATCCGGGTGAGGTGATATTTCCTATTCCTTTATATATTGTTTTTATTATTATTGCTGTTCTCTACGCTCACCTGTTTTTAGGCATTCGATCATGAGGTCTGTCCATATATGCCTAAGAGTAGGTATCAACTGTTTCAGGTGCTCACAGCACAATCCATCTGGTCCCATTGCTTTTTATTTTGGGATGTTTTTATTGCTTTTTTATTTTTCTGCTTTACTGAAGAGTTCCGGTGTTTTCCTCACTTCTTTTATCTTCTGTGGTCTTGTCTTTTTCAGCTAGTATCTCTTTCATATATGCTAGTAATCATAGAGGATTTTGAAATTTATGTTGGTAACACTGGAAAACTGATCCAACAGCGCCAACTTTGGCGAGTGTCTTTTGTTCCGAGTTCAGATTGAGCTCAGTCGTCAAGTACATTTCAATGTAAAAACATCTAGCAATAAAGATCAATATGTTAAGCAAAAGGCAGTTTTGAATTTCATTTCAAGACATCACCATTAACAATATATTTTCCCCATATTTCCATTGGTATATCTGTGGGAAATCTTTGATTGCCTGGCAGTGCTAAATACGGATTTCTCGGTAAATCTAATATGGTTTTGTGAATTTCTTCTTCTATTTGATTTGCCTTTTATTTTTGATAATTTACTTGTAGTATCTTCGTAGCATGAAATAATTCACGGCATTTAGCGTCTTTATCGGTCGTGCCGCTAGATGTCACATGATAACGA